TACCACTTCATAGTGCTTTACAGCCCTCTCTAAGCGATTTACAGAGTCAGCGTATTGCCCCCAACAATCTGGGTCCTCATTTTACCAACCTTGGAAGGATGGAAGGCTGAGCCAACCTTGAGCCTGGTGAGATTCGAACTGCCAAATTGCAGGCAACCGGCAGGCACCAGAAGTAGCCTGCAATACTGGACTCTAACCACTTTGCCACTGTGGCTCAGGTAAAAAGGGACATGGTTTTAATTCTAATTCTTGACAGAATGTCTTAAATACTTAAAAAGACTAAGTAGTTTATTTTCTCAAGCCAACACCATTGTTATTTCTCTTCTCAAGGTATTATCCCTTTAAATAATTTCTGTTCCTGAGTGCAACTTCTTGTAAGATAGAAATTTAATCCAAGCAGGGTGCAAATAAGGAGCGAATTGTAATGACTTCCAACTGAATTCAATGGGAAATAGATTTACGTGTTTGGGGAGATGCATTAAAGCTATCTTGTCAAAGTACCCTGAGTAGCATACCCTTCCCCCCATTTTCATATATTCGCGCCTCAACAAATGGGCCGATAAGTTTCCATTCTATTCCATAGGAAATTGTTGCGTCATCATGGAATGGGCCCTTTTGAAACCTCAGAACCTTTTACTCAGCTCACAGTGGGCGCGAAGCCATGAGAAGAGCCAATCCATACTTCCCTAACTGGAAAGAAAAAGAAAAACCAGTCACCTGCAAGAATCCACTGGGGTCATTCTCTTTGATGACCTCCAGACAGTATTCCATCAGCCCCGTTGTCTGGCGCAGCTTCACTGTGCAGTGAGAGATCTGATCACGTACCACCTGCAATAAAATACAGAAATGATAAAGACCTGCTTAGACCAGGTAGAGATGCTTTTGCAGATAAGAACCATGCCTGGAGAATTTGGGGAAGTATTCTGGCCAGAAACGCAATGGATCACTTATTCCTCACTGCCCCTCAGTTGATTTTGCTGGGTGCCTCAAAGTCTAAGAAACCTTAAGGGCTTGGAATAGTAATTCTGCCAAACACCACACAGTCTGCTTAATTCTAGACCTACACAAAACCACAACCTCTTCCTCGAGCCACAGTATTTGTTAATGTGCTTGGAGGCAACAATGTGCAACCCTGATGGAATTTGACAGCAGCCCTGATAGGCATTCGGAGTATATGGGGGTTAACCACCCTGTTGCCAGTGATTCTGTTTTAACAATTGCTTCTCCCATAAACAGAGGAACAAATAAATTGGCTGCATTCTTATTAAGGCATCAAAGGATTTTTATGGCTTTGGTTCAGCATGGGGGGTGATTCTACCCAATGATAATTTCATCAAAAATGATTAAATAAATCATAGCTTGGCAGTGTGTAAATCACTCTTAGGAGTGGGAAAGGGTGCTGGCATTTCTTCAACCACACTTTCTAGTTTTAGCATTGTCAAAACAAATTTCCAAAGTTGAGATCATCCAGAGGCCTAGTCAAGAGCTCAGCCATTCCTCTATTCTACTGGGCACCACTAACAGAACTGGCACCAGTTATATTTCCTTGTAGGCAAGAATATTCAGGGACCTGTGCATTGGAGCAAAAGAAAGAGAGAGGCCATCCCAACGCCATCTCTCAAACTATCAGAATCTTGCGTTCCAAACCTTCTGAGCTGACTCTTTATTTTCCAGTTTCTACCTTCAGGGGCTGGAGAACTGTGGTGCATCTTTGGTGTTGAAGGGCAAATATATCAACAGAGGCATCAAAAGCTTCTGGTTCATTATGCACAATGGAAACTTGGAGCAAGATTTAAATAAGCATTTTTAGGCTCTGACAATATAGAGCATTCGTGGTTGGAAAGAAAAAGAGAGGTGTTGAAATCGGACCCTGAATCCGCTCCAGTTCTTCCATCTTCAATATTATAATCCTAGTGTGGTTTTCTCCAAACATTCCAGAGGGCAAGAAACAGCTGATGATTCAGGATTAGGTTTGCAGTTCTCATTATATATGGGTATGGCTAGCTCAATGTAACTTGTATTGGGGGGAGGGCGCCTGTGGTGGTCTGAGTGCTNCTTCCCATCTTTCCCCTCCTCTATCTTCCTTCCCTTCTGTTTCCTTCTTTCTCCTTCCCCTCCCTTCCTCCTTTCCTTTCCTTTCCTTTCTCCTTTCCTTTCTCCTTTCCTTCCCTTCCCTTCCTCTATCTTCTTTTCTTTTCCTTTTGTTTCTCCTTCCCATCTTTCCCTTCCTCTATCTTCCTTCCTTTCTCTTTCCTTCTTTCTCCTTACCTTCCTCCTTGCCTTTCCTTTCCTTCCGTTCCCTTTCTCCTTTCCTTTCCTTTCCTTTCCTTTCTCTTTTCCTTTCTTTCCTTTCCTTTCCTTTCCTTCTTTCCTTTCCTTTCCTTCCCTTAACTTCCCTTTCCTTCTTATGGCCAATAGTTCATCGGTTCACAATGATGGCTCTGACTTTGCTAGTTTTATCCTAATACTGACAATCATTCTGACAAGAACATGCAGCGGAAACAGATAACTGGCACTGGACTTGGATAAAATAGATAGCAGAGCTCCCGTTAGTCTTGCTAAGGTTAAGCAAGAGATGAAGACAGATGCATGACGATGGCTAAGAACGCTGCAGGATGGAGAATGTGGTAGGATGGTCTAACTGTCATTACCTATTAATTGTAGCCATTGAATTAACCCATAAAGTGCCCCTTTGAGAGTCTGTTTAGCCTCCTATCTCCCCTGTAAGGCAACTCTGGGCAGCTTACAGATGATAAAAAGTGAAATAAAAGATACGAATTAAAATGTTAAAACTGTGCAGATTAAAAATTTGAAACTATATAAAACATCAGGATTAAGAGATGGATGTCACAAGGATGAGGTCTCCTTACCCCGTCAACCTCCCCCAATGGTGAGAGACCCCCTCAGGCCCCAAGCCAACTGGCCAAAGCAAAATTTAATACCCTTCCATGGTGTTAAGTGAATTACATGGTCATTAAGCGAATCAGGCTTCTTTTATGTGCTGCTTGTTGGAAGGTTGCAAATGGGGATCACTAGGCTGTTGTAAAAATGTGAAAATGCCCAAGAACCTGAATTTTAAGCATGCCATTGTGGGAGAGTCCTGCAATGGTTGTAAACACAAGGTAGTAAGTCAGTTTTTACAACTTCGAACCTCGTTAAAGAAATGATTTTAAGTTGAGGACGATCTATACTCCC